GAACCTAGGACGCTTGGACCCAAAGTCTGATGCTCTACGGACTGAGCTATAAAGGCTTAAGCCACTACAGCAGGGCCGTAGTAGCAACTTGGTATCAAGGGTTGTTACACTATCTCCCCCTTTGAAAGGACCACGCCCTCGTGGTCAGCCCTTCTTTCCTAGTAGTGAATACCACACACACACGGGCGCAAAGGATACAACCAATCCTTTGATCCCACCGCTGCCACCAGTGTAACAACGGGGGTCACAGTCGCCTAGCCGTGACGTTACATAAAAAGTACAAGATGTTCAAATATACTTGAAATTTCTGTGGTAGCGTATGGTCTAAACTAGGAAGTGTGTTGGTTGTTAAGAATTTTAATCTACTCTTTACTGACAACTAACTGTCACACTGATCTCAATAATAACATAAAATATGATTTGAATGAGATATATATTATGTAATCAACTATAAGTATAAAATATGTACACTGAGTTTTTACAATGAAGCTAACGTCTTTCAGATGGTTTATCAAACAAGATACTGTTAATACCTAACAAAACAGCTTTCAATCTTTCTACCAATCTGACCTGTAATAGATAATACACACAACTTCTACATGTAGATGCTCCACAAACACTAATGCCACCTTTTGGCAAATGTTCAAAGTAATAAAAGTACACACATAGCTAGGTGAATGTCTATCCTCAACTAAAACCCTGCAAAATTAGTGTGCTACCTTAAGCTGGTAATATTCACTGCACAAAATGAGACACAATTCTGAATATATCTGATTGGAATATACAATAGCAACTAAGAAATGTTGTAGATTCTCAAAGTTTGCGAAATTAGGTCACTTGACTTAGCCGTCTATTTCTGTTCAAAACTAACTTCCTTGCCCTATTTAACTTGATTTATCTTATTCTATAGGCCATTTACTGTTAACATAATCATATCCTAAATTAGGACCTTAAGTCCTCCACTTATAGACGATTCAATCAGCAGGATATAAAATACTGTCAATCTAAATTCTCCATGTGCGCCTCTCCCAAACGCTTTTCTAAGATGTGCTTTAATTGGCTAATCTAATCTAAACATATAAAAGGCATAAGTTTTTTTGGCACCAAATTCAAAAGATATAAAAAGTTTAAAAGTCCTTGCAAACCTTATAGTCCATGGTATGAAATATCTAGGACGTCTAATAAAGGAGATGGTAGCACACTATAGCGCAGCGATATTTGACCTAACATTAACATACCTACATATGTTCCCTAATAATTTTTATTATAACCATTTAATATACTTCCGGCTTTTAGGGTGAATTATGCCTGCCATCAACAGAGGTCAAAAAATTACCAATAAATAAAATCCCAATTTTTCACAGTTTGGAGAACACAATGCAACAGCAAATAATACAAAAATATTTTAAATATATGATCTAGGTTTCTAAGCTATACGTTTGAGGTTATTTTTCTTATCAATACCAAAACATTATGTAATCAGTGCATCGACGTTTTGTATTGCTTCTCAGGTATTAATAAGATTAATGCTAGAAATTAATCACTTTTATATTAGAATGACAAATGCTTAAATTATGTTAGATTTTCACAAAATGGGTCTCAATATGTTTTGAGATATTGACTTTTATTCAGCGGTGAACATTAAAAATAAAGGAGAGCCTATTGCTCTTCCTTGACTAATCGGGACTACAGCTGGAAATTATATTTTTCGTAGTTAGATATAGCTCAGTTGCTTATAAAAGAACACCAAGACTTGGTCGAAATCCTGAATAATTGAGAAAAATAGTTATCATTATCTTCCTAAAATCTGCTTATATCCAGCGGTAAGGTCAAAGAAGAAGCAACCATCAAAAAACTTGATGATAGCCAGCAGTAACGTCGGGGAAGAATTGTAAGGCGTTCGATTGCATATATCTCTAATTGATTATTAGACATGCCCTTGGAATATATGAACATTCCAATACCTCTGTAACATTTAATTTGATATAAATCTTACCTATTTATTATTGTATTATGTTCTATAAACCATGAACAATAATTTGTTGTTAGACCCCTTGCGATTATTTGGAAAACATCTGGTAATAAAATGTTTTAAATGGTAAGAAAACTAATATATTCCCAATCATAAATTACCTAAATATTCCACACAATTTTGTTGAATCTGCTTGGCTCATATTTGAAAAATCAGACAAAATCTGAAAAACACACTTGCGTTATTACACTAATTAAACACCTACATCCACGGTAAAATTAAAATATATTTTTACATTACGATAATCTATTTTTTGTTCGTATGCTTAGAATAATGGTCAGAGTCTTATAAAATGTATAAAAGTTCGAATCAAAATATTTACGTTTTTGGACCCCTTGTGATGAAAGACATTTTTCGACCCGAAAGCCGGAAGTTTTTTCAGCAAATGGTATTTTAAAAGAATCAAGACATATGCACCTCCATAAATATTGCTTCAAATGTTGCTGCGCTATAGCGTGCTACGGATCCTTCATATTCGGAAGTCATACCATGGACTATTACAATAACCGTCCAATAATTACATTTACAGATATATGAAATAATTAAACTGGGCATGAAATACGAAAAGTAACAACCCAGGGTTGTTACGAATACGCTACATAGCCCCACATGAGCACAGTAACCTGAATGGTTAAAGCCATTCTCTGATACTCATCACATTCTTCCTTCAACGACAAAGGCCATTCTTTCTCATTGATGGGTTTTTATCCCGTGCCAGGACTATCATGCCAAACTTTTGGGATTTTTGACCAGAGGTTCGCACAAACACCCGCTGGCTACAGACATAGATTTGTATTTCATGGTGCAAAATATACATGTAACTCTCAGACATGGTCAGAAGGTATTGGAAAGGGTCCAGTGCACGTAAAAAACACCCCCCCCCCTCAGTGGGAAATCTAAGTAGCCTAAAATTCAGATCACAACCTCACAACATGAATTTAAAAGTGAATGACACTAGGTACTAGTAACAACATGAGTACCAAACAATTAATTTTGAAATCTTTATTATTTGACATTTCCTGCAGGTTTATCCAGATAAAACAAATCAGACATAAGTAAAAATTAAAATACAAAAATTAAAATAACAACATAAGATATAAAACTTAAAATAACAAAAACAAAATAACTCTTATTCTAATAACACAATAAAAAAATTAATTAATATTTATTTTATTGTGTTATTAGAATAAGAGTTATTTTGTTTTTAATTTGGCGCTAGCTGTGATGCTTGAGCAGAAAAGAAAACGGGGCTGGATAAAGGACACAAAACCAGCAGGGACATATTCCCCTAGCATGCATGTGGTGGGTGATTTTATTGCTCTGTAAAAATAAAAAGTTTGGTCACCTAAAGATTTGCTTCAGTAATCACACGAAACAGAATTTGAAACTACATGTCACATTGACATCTTAAAATTATTACTTTCGATGCAAGAGAAACTTCAAAAGTTTGACATACGTACATTTCTAAAGCAAATTAAAATATCTTTACACATTTAAAATAACTTTAGTAATCGATGAAGCATGGGCTTTCAATAGCGGAGTTTCTAAACTCATTAAAATTGAAAGGAGCTTTCCTGGTTGGCCCCTGTACCCCCCTAGGAAGTCCCTTTATGTTGAAATACCATGGGGCGACTGTCAGGCTACCGCGTTGGGCCAAAAAAGGCCTTCAGGCCCCAAAAAGTGGGCCTCTTTGGTCATTACTGGGCCTTTTAAGGCTTTATTTTTTAATTTCAGGCCATATTTTGAAGAAAATGGGCCTCAAATTTCAAAATTTGGGCCCACTTTTGGGTTTTAGGGGCCCAAATTTTTTTTCCGCGCAAGCGCTGACGTTTTTTTCTCTGACCTGCAATTTGCCCCCCCCCCCTTGTTGGTTCCCAGATCCGCCCCTGGCGTTGACATCACACTGGCGGATCTGGGGGGGGGGGGGGCCCAGGGGCCCGGCCCCCCCCCCCCCCCCTTGGGTGGGCCCAGAAAAAAAAAATTGTGCCCAAAAAAAATTTTGGTCATAAATTGGCCTTCTAAGGCCTTATTTTTTAATTTTAGGCCAAATTTTGAAGAAAATGGGCCTCTAAATTCCAATTTGGGCCCACTTTTGGGTTTTTGGGGCCCAAAATTTTTTTTACGCGCAAGCGCGGAAGTTTTTTTCTCAGACTAGAAGTTTGGGCCCCCCCCCTTGTTGGTTCCCAGATCCGCCCCTGCATCACCCCTCTTTACCAGTAGTGCAGGCTTGTTGCTTTGCACTTGGGACCGGCTTGGGACCCTTTACATTAAAACATAGATCTATATTAAAAACACACCTATTTAATTGCAGTTATTGACATAGGCATAGTATGATGATTTAAAACTACTTAGACTGTCACAGTCTAAGATGTCACCAGATAGGGTGTTCCATTTAGCTATTGTCCTAGGGAAATAGCTAAATTTGTATGCATCCGTTCTAGTTGATGGTTGTATGAACTTAATGGGGTAAGGGAGAAGAGCCCGCCAAAAGAAGGAGTTTTGGCGCGAAGTAATCTGATTGGTTGCAAGCCACTGAAGCCGCTACGGCTATCATAATCCCGGGGTAAAAATAGCCAGAACTAGATTTGAAATTATCCCTGATACAATAACATTATTGGTAAAGATTACATGATTGCATTGCTTATGAAACCACAGTGTTAGTGGTCACTCGTGACTTGAGGCTAGAAATCCGCCTACTAGCTACAGCACCCAAAACGAGGAACTATATACGTTCGTGATTTTTATGTATATCATCTAACTATTTATCCACGTATAATATAGTTCGTTATTAGTTCGCACTTTTTAGGTAAAAACATCTATATAGTGTTTGCCTATCAGACGATTAACGTTTTGTGACCCTAGTAATCAAATAAAATACTTTCTAAAGGTTGAAACATAACAGTTTTGAAAGGATGTTCGATGTGATTAGGCGGAGTAATATACGTAGCCATCCTCCATCGTCCTGCGCCATTTCCAACGGAGGTTTCCTAATCGACATATGACATGTCTACATTTGGTAATTAACAGGACAATATGGGTCATTTGCATTTTGAAACAAAGCACCGATAAAGTTCACAGGTTAATGCATATGTTGACTGATTTGTAAGTATTGTATCTTGTCGAAACATTCACAGGATAGTGAGTTATTATACGGCGCTTATCTCTCTGTTGAGGGAAATTTTTAACTTGTCGCTACAGGGTGATCCAAAAAATGTCATCAATAGTATTTTACTTTTGCTGTATTCTGTGTGTTAATTTGACGCATATCTTCTTAAAATTAGGCTTATTATTCTTAATAAAAACATCCTAAATAATTTTCCTCACCGGAGCAAAATATTGACAATTTCAAACCCACTTGTTGATTTCAAGGGTGTTTGCGTAGTGTAGCGACGTAGCATCTGGTAAGCCTGGTTACACCAAAGTCACATTTGTCGCACGGCAGCCGCAAGTCGACCGCAGATCAATTAAATCGGTGAATTTCTGTGGCGAGCGTAGAAAAACTACGCTCGCCTTTCGGCCTCCGTACGGCGTATGCAGATTTTTACAGGCCGCAGGGAAGGCGTAGAAATTATAACTCGGAGTTATAATTTTTGTTCATTTCTGAGGTCACCGTAGAAATCAACTGACTCAACAAGATTGAATCATTATTTGTCAATGTTTCACAATCACTTTTCATTTGATATTACATCCTAGCACTATGAATAACATTTATAAATTGTCCCGATGTAAATAAAATGAAAAAAGTATTATTTATCAACAGAAATTTAAAATTCACCGTGCGGCTGCCGTGGGAAATGTGACTGCAAAAGTATGAGAGCGCAGAAATTCTGCGGCGAGCGTAGAAATGTTACTGGCCGCAGAAATGATAGACTGCAATGTCGCCGTAGGAAATGTGACTGGGGTGTTACACACAGGTGTACCAGATGGTTGTAAATACACTCCAAATACAACCAAACTTCAACATTTTCTGGGGGGAAAACTACTCAGAACCCCTAGTCTATATCCAATAGACTGAATTTCCTGAGAATTCAGTCTATTGATCATTATGTCTCTCCTGTGGGAAAAAACAGGAAATTTCCTGCACACAATTATCAATTTTAGGAAACTTCACTTCCAAAAAATAAGGATTATAACAATTCAATTAAGGTACAATTAAATGCTATATAAAATAACACAGCATATTGTCAAATGGAAATAAAGCTAGGAGAAGTAACAAATATGCAAAATAATTTACCCAATCGGCCATTTTGAATGGCACTTCCTATGTAAACAAATAATTTAATCCCACATTTATAATATGTGGGCTATAGACTGAATATTTTCATTCCAAATTTCAAAAAATTTCAGACTAGAGGATATAGACAGAACCCCCCTGAACTCTCGTTTTTCACTTTGGTCAACTCGTATTCCCGTGGAAGCATACTATTCTTAAAAAGAGCACTACACCCATGGTCTACGACAAGAACTATTATTAAAAATATTTGTGCCCCATTTTTTGGGGTACACTGTACATGTGTATATTCTGTACAGTCAAGTCATGTACCACATGTAGAGTTTGGCTGTCCTTAATATTCATATTTCAATGTATTTTCAGGTTGCATTTTCAGTGGTTCTTGTTGTTGATGTTGTCACAGAGTAAAACAGAATTTGCCACATTTAACAGTTATTGGTTGCTATAGCGAGTTATATATAAACACACAATGGAGGAGTTTACCCAAGATGCACTTGGATCTGACATGTTCTACAGCACAATTGAACCTTCCGATATAATGCCTATAATGGTTACCAAAGAGAGTACCAATATTATTTACTTGGGAAATACCCCCGCCAAAAATTCCTTTTCGACCAACTCGCATTTTAGCGTTATTGAACCTAATTCTTCTAATATTGAGGGATCTTTTCCTTGTATCTCTTGCACGAAAGTTTTTACCAGAAAAAAATATTTAAACGATCATATGAGACGATTTCATAAGATATATGCAAAGGATTATAATAGTGGATCAGTACCATCATCACAGGCAGTTAGTCAATCGCAGCCCCTTTTAATTGAAGTTGATAAGACTAGTCAGTATACGAAATGCAGATGTCCAGCATGTGGTGCGCCTTTCGAGAATAATGCATTCCTTTCTGCACACATGGAACAAGCACACAATTCAACGGTACGAGATGTTATTGCTGTTCCTGCAGAGAAGCATTTATGTCATTTTTGTCCAAGACATTTTTCTGCTCCGAGGTATTTAGCGAAGCATATAAAGATAGAACATACTAATTCAGTGTTATCCGTTAAGAAGATACACCAATGTCATATATGCAAAAAAGTGTTCAATCAAAGGTCGAATAAAGCATCTCATATCCGTTTGGTTCATAAGATATCCACATGGCAGGACTTGCCCAGAAACCATCTCTGTCCGATCTGCAAAAAAGGATTCGCCAAATTCCAATTCATGAAAATTCACTTGGCTGTCAAGCATGAACTCCAGTTAAAGGATATCACGTTACATCAGAAAAAAACGTTACTGGTTAAAAAAGGGAAACATGTTTGCCATTTATGTCCAGATAAAAGTTACGTAAAGCCATATGATTTAAAATTACATAAGAAGAAAGTACACGGAATAGAAATAGTAAACACAATTGTGAAAAAAAGTTTTCCTTGTAAGCTATGTGATGTAGAACCATTAACCAGCAAGCGATCGCTGCGTGAGCATATGAAATCTGCTCACCGTGCAATGCTAGTTACAGTGGAAAGCAATAAAAAGCAAAAGTCGAATTTACGGAAACACAAGTGCACTGAATGCCCTGTTGCAGTTCCAACCAAAGGTTTATTGAGGAACCATCTAAGTAGGTTGAACTTTTTCTCAGTAATCAACTGTCCTTGATTTATTTCATACATTGCTGTTGATTTCATTAGAAATAATGACATATTAGGCAAAATGTTGAAAACAATAGGCAAAGTTATTAATTTACTGTACTACTTAATTTGGCTCTATTTATTTTGACGTATTTGCTGTTTTGAACATTTGGCGGCTACTTAATTTGGCAGATTTATTATGTTACAATGCACATACACAAATAGTACCAATTTACATAGTTCTATAGTTACCAGGAAATTTGATGGATATATAATTTAGTCGATTTTATCATTTTGGCAGATCTGCTAAATTAAAACGAGAAGAAGTAAAGCACTAAATAGAGATCATCTTTTTAACATGGAAACAAAAAAATTTTTTTTTTCAATTCACAACCTTACAAATACCTTCAAGAAGCAAGGATAAGTATACGTATATATTCAAGAATTTTTCAAATCCTTCTTGATCCCTAATTATCAACTCTTTGAACTGAACTAAACCGCTACATAACAAAGGGTTTTGTTATGTAGCACTTAGTTTAAAAAAGAGTTGATATTAGGATTCATAAGGATCTGAATTCTGAAACATAAATATAAATAAAGGTTGTGAATAACCCAGATGCGAGTAGAAATAATCTTGATTTACGTCATTAAAAATTCAAAATTCAGTCAAAGTAATATCATATTTGAAATCTACTTGTAAAATTACATCTTGAAATGTTGTTTTAAAAAGTGTTTATCAACTTTGAAAAATCAATTTTCTTTGAAAATGTGACTTCTAACTCGGGGAGATTCCCCATAGACCCCATGCTATAAAATAACAAAAAATGAAATATCTTTTCTTTTAGTCGACAGATAATATTTTGCTATACTGGATATATTTTCATTAGTATAAGTATCAGACACATAAGGGTTATATGAAAATTGAGCCACTTAAATTGATAATATTCAATTTTAAGGGAACTTTCTTCTATATCTGCCATGTTAATTGACCCGAATCAACCACCTGGTGGTGAAACTGGTAACTACCTACTCGCATTTGGGTAATTGAAGAATATTGTTTTTTTTGTAATAAATATAACAACCTGAAGAACATGTTTAGAACATGGAAATAATTGGAAAATACCTAGGTGATGTAATATTAGTAAAAATAATTGGAGAAAATCATAATTGGATTTGAATTTGTGGTGGAACTTGACTTTTAATGAATTAAAATTCTGAGAGAATTTTTTGATCTATATCCCTAAATCTCCCACTTAACAAATTTTTAATCTAGAATTACGAATCATTTTAAATTTCAAACCACCAATAAATTTTATTTTTAAAACAACTTGGGTCTCAACTATTTATATTGTCATAACAATATGTAATTTTTAAATTTAGAATCATCACACAATGTGGAGCTACCAAATGGGACCAATTTAAAGGTGAAGTGTCTAATTGAAGGCTGTGACTTTGTTGCCATGTGGATCTCAACTGTCGTAGAACACATGAATGAGAGTCATCCAGAGATTCCACCATTAGGTAGGTAGCAAATTTAGTCTTATGCAGTGGTCACATTTGCTCCGATTTTCAGCACCGGCGCCCGATCGATGAGTATTTTATTCAAAATTGAATACAATGTGACCACTGCATTACAGTAAAACCTGAGTTAGCGAACAGAGTTGAGCAGAAATATTACTTAATCACAACATTTCAAAAACTTTTCAGTTATTGTATTCTAACATATGATTGCTTGCAAACTAAAGGAGCCGGGATTTATTTGAAAGATCTATCAATAATGGGTGCTTAGACATCTGAGGTGTTAAACTTGAATGAGTGTTCCTTTTGACAGGTTTTGTAAATATGTATGTCCAGTAAAACTTGTAAAGTGGAACACCTATGTTAGTGATGCACTTTTAAGTCCCAAGACCACCTGACTTGTTATATGGAACACCTTCCACATGGAACACTTTTAGAGGTACTAAAGGTGTTCCACTAAGACAGGTTTTACTGTTGTAAAAATAAAATAAAATATGTAAATCATGGAAAACATTATAATTGAAACAGTTTTCAGAGTCCCGTCACTGATCTAATGAACAAATGTTCATTGAACAAGTCAAAGTAAAACACTTTTTAGAGGTACCTAAAATGTTCCACCAACATAGGTGTTACTGTAGCATGAAGTAAAGTAAAACATGTTAAAGTTGAACATTATCTAAGTGAATGATCGATCTAATATTAGATGAAAAAAGTGAACACCTTCAAACTGGAACACTTTTTAGAGGTACCGAAAATGTTCCACTTCCACAGGTTTTACTGTAGGCCTATTTATTTTATAGAAACCGAAAAGAAAAGCTTTGAAAACATGGAGGCATTTTGGGCGTGGAAACAAGAAATTGAGGAGAAAACCTATTCATACTATCCAAAATCTTGGGGAAAATTAGTGTCGTCAAAACGCCGTAAGTTATATTTTGTGATGTTATCATGACTTTTTGAGCATATTTATTATTAATTTGTATGAAGACTTTTACAGGTATTTTCACCTTTTCCATAACATTTTTTCAAAGAGCTTTGCTATACTAAGTATTTAATGCAGTCATATCACAACATATATCAGTCATATTGCAACAAATACCAGTCATATTGCAACAAATATCAGTCATATTGCAACAAATATCAGTCCACAGTAAAAGGGGTCTTATCACAGATTTTTTCAATATTTTGATTTTTTGTTTATCTTAAAAAGCACAGTGAGACCTTTCAAATGAGCCATTGCTTGTGATTGATTCCTTGGAGATACAGACCAAAACAATGAATTTGAAATTAGCACAATTTCTTCTTTATCTTGGGTACATTTTTAGTTCTGTAGCACCCGATGTTGATACTCAAATATAAGTCAAATTTGCAACATATATTGCAACAATGATTAATCAAATTGCAACAAATATCTGTCTAATACAAAAAAATTCAATCAAATTGCAATAAAAATTTGTCAAATTATGACATATCAGTCAAATTACAACAAATATCAATCAAATTGCATTCAATCAAATACACAACATACATCAGTCAAAGTGCAACATACATCAGTCAAAGTGCAACATATAAATCCAGCGCACCATATTTACTTCAAATGCAACAGAGATTGTGTCAAATATCAGTCAAATTACAACAAATCACAACAAAAATTGGTGAAATTGCAATAAATATCAGTCAAATTACAACAAATATCAATCCAATCGCAACAAATATCAATAAAATTGCAGCAAATATCCAATATCCATCAAATTGCAACAAATATTAATAAAATTGCAACAAATATCAGTCAAATTGCAACATACATGTATATTAATCATTCCAGCGCACCAAATTTACTTCAAATGCAACAGAGATGGGGACCAAAAACGACCGAATTCTTACAACAGGCAATCATTGATCCGTAAACTCCTCCCAAAAGCAGCAAAAGTTGTAAATCCAAATATAGAAAAAACCAAAACGAGCATCAAACTGAACCGTAGGTGCTTTGCCAACATGGCGCTGAGGATAAATGTTGGAGAGACAGTTGATGTGGTTTTTATGAAGACGCACTCTCACGATTTAAGACTGGAGGATGTGAGCCTGATGCCACGTAAATACAGACCTGCTATTAAGAACCTCAATCCAGCAATTAAAGGTATTTGTATTCAGGTTTTTCATTTACTTTTATATTCTTAATTAACAATATTTTATTCACCTGTTCTATATTATCTTACAGTTTAATGATGAAAAAGATGGTTATTAAGTCACTTGTCGTTTTTTGAGAAATCGGCTATTGCAACTATTCCAATTTTCAAATGATGATTTCCAATGTTGTTTTTGTTTGGTTCGCCCAGAATTCTAATGATACCCCAAATGAAGATGTTCAAACAAGTTGATTGTTCTCTCTCCTCTAAATCAATTTTACCTTGATTATCCCATCGAACGAAGTTTGGAGGGATAAAGGGAACGCCTCCATCCGTACATACGTATGTTCGTACATCCCTACGTCCGTCCATCCGTCCGGGCAATAATTCAAATACCGATGGCCAGATTTTGTTCATATTTTGTACACATATACCCAATGGGGGTAGAAGTTCTGCTCAAAAACCGATTTTCAAATTGGCCACTCATTTAAAAATGGTGGCCATTTCAGTGCCGATTTTACAGTAATTTAGGTACTGCATATAAAACTGTAATAGCAATAAATTTAAATGTAAAAAAAGTTATATAGGACATTGATTAAGCTAGAAATGTAAATACAGAAGAAATACATGGCAGCCATCTTGAAAAATGGCTGCCTTTGCACGTCATTTTACGATTTTTGCTGTAACTTGAAAAGTAGTGGAGCGATTTTGTTCATATGTGAATAGTATAGTATGTGAATACTTTAAGCATGGCACAATGTCTAATGACATTTCTGGTAGTAGGCGGCCATTTTTCAAAATGACCACCATTTTTATGTGTATTATGTTACATTTTTTCATATAACTCAAAAAGTTGTAGAGCGATTTTGTTCATATTTTATATGTGAATACTATAAGCATGGCACACTGTCTTATGGCACTTTGGAAAAAAATGGCCACCATTTTTTACGTTTGTTCATATTTGATATCTGAATACTTATGAGCCTTGTACACTGTCTCATGACACTTCGCGTAGTAGGTGACCATTTTAAAAAATGGCTGTCAATTTTACATTTTTTACTATAACTCGAAAAGTATTGGGAGCGATTTTGTTCATATTTGATATGTGAATACTCGTAAGGATTGCATACTGTCTAATGACATTTTGGGTAGTAGGCGGCCATGCTATTTGCAACATGCTATTTACATCTTGTGAGTTTCAATGACGCCGTTTGATTTTATAAAAAATGCCAAACTTTGTGACAAAGAATTGCATCCTGCTTGCAGCGAGAAGACGGACTCGTTCGGGGCAATAACACACATGTATAAAGATTCCTAAATTATGGTCATGCTATTGCCCCAAACCGGTCCGTCTTCTCGCTGCAAGCAGGATGAAATTCTTTGTCACAAAGTTTGGCATTTTTTATAAAATCAAACGCGCGTCATTGAAACTCACAAGATGTAAATAGCATGTTATTTACATCATACCTTGATGGGGAAAAATATATCTTATATGTTAGAAGTACTAAATAAAAGTTATCGTGAAAATGAGACAGTCGTTCTCGAGAGAAAAGAGCATAAATGCGCATTTAGAGAGTTTTGGTCCGTTTAAAAATCTGTAAAAAATTTGGGTACTTAAAAGCATCAGGAGGCATCAAATATTTCAAATTAGACACGAGGAAGTCATTATTGAGCAAGTTATGGCTGTTTTAAATTCAAATAAAACTGTTAACCCGTACCGGTCCAGCTTTTGACCCGTATCGGTCAATTTTCGTTAGCTGCATATACCAAGGGTGGTCAGTGTCAATGGAATTCTATGTGTTGCATAAAAATTGTTAATAAATGTTGAAATAGTGAGAAATTGATATCAAACCTATCTCAGTTTTTTATGTCACACCATAAGTGGTGACATATTGTTTATTGTTATAGTCTCAAACTTTTTTTTTGTTCATGGTGTTCTGCAGTTGGCATTCGGTGGTTGATGTTTGTAGCAAATGGCAGATGTTGACATTTTGCATGTTAATGCCTTTTTTTCAATTTTATGATTGAATCTCATAAAAGGTCCTTGATAAAAATAATGTTGGAACCCTTTTTGATGTTTATAATTTGATGTAGGCCTACCTGGCCCAGACCAGCCACTGAAATTTGTGAGTGAGCCCGCACCTGATCCTATTGACACTCCCTCTGATGCCTCAACTAATCAACCTGATGTCACTACTAATCACAGTGATTCTGATGCCAGGACTGGTTCAAATCAAAAAGCCACAGCAGACTTGACTTCTGATGTCAAAACTAGTCAAAGTGACCCTGATTCTGATTTGGAGATGTCAGTTGATGACCAAGGTGATGTCAGCACTGTTGAAGAGCAATCCACCCACAACAATGTTTATGGTAAGACAAAACCTTTGATATCACACTTTGCTTTTGCTGCTAGGCAGGTGGCTGGATGAGTGAGAGTCACAAGTCTTGTCATCAAAATATCAGGAAAATTGCTTGCTTATCCATTCAACTTGAGCTTTTTTGCAGATGCAAGAGGAGACTAGCGCCATTAGATCTGATAAAGTTTCTGCAGTGAGCACCATTAAAACAAGTGGGCGCAGCACCCACCTGAGATTTTGAAAATAGGCTTACACCCACTCGCACCCACTTGAAAATGAGAAAAATCATGAAAAATTGGCATATTTTGACCAATTTCAGTCTGAATTGTGAAAATGAGAATTTTGCACACACTTGAGAAAAAATCCTGTGGAGAACACTGTTCTGTGACTGCAATTTTGATTAACCTGTATTTATTGGATGTGGCTGAATCAGATTTATGCATATAGTGTTGATGAATTCTTCTTTTAAAAGATCCATGCAAAATTGAAAATACTTTTTGACTTTTCAGATATTGCTTAGGATAACCTAGAAGTTGTTTGAGATTTTATTCAAAAAATCATATTGAAGTAAAATACAATGTATTTGAATTTATGCCATTTTTTGACAATTTAACATTATTGAAGATAGTAACATAAATCCTGATGCCCAAATTTCTCAGTTAACATTATAATATATTATTTTATTATTCCAGCCACATATGCTGCCATACCAGCAAAGCCTACCACGAAATCTGAGCATAAGAAGCATTCACTTTCTGTGACAAATCTGAAGTTGATTCAGAGTACGATAGAAGCAGCTTCTATAAATGAACCGAAACGAGTGTTAGAGGATGACTCTGATAGTGACATGGCTGGAGACTCAGATTCAGACTCCCCTGAACATGTCTATGAACCAAGGCCTTCTAAAAGTGAGTATTTCTGAAAGGTGGCGAGAGCTCATATAGATGGTAGTTGACATATTGTCAATGGTTTGTAGTAGTGTAAAACCTGTCCAATCTGAACACCCCTGGGACTGTTCAAAAGAGTTGTTCATATTTTTCATATTTCAAGGTTTTTTAAAGATGAAAATCAATGAAAGATTGGAGCAAGAAAAAGTGTACACATTGAGAGATGTTCGGATTTAAGAGAGGTGTTCAGATATACAGGTTTCACTGACCTTGTATATCCCAACTCTCCCATCAGTTTATTAGGCGAGGAAGAAACTGAAAAAGAGGCTGTTTTAAAGGTTAACCCCCCCCCCCTAGTTTTAACAGGTTGAAATTTAAAAAGCTAATGAAGCAAGATTTGTATAGATTTAGCAATTATGACTAATTTTTAAGACAATATCCCTTGGAAACTCCTTATATTAAGTGGTTGCCATGGCAACACATTTTGACTGTCATTATTATAAACATTGTTAATATTTGTTGTGGCAAACTAATTTACGCTAAATAATAACTGTAGATGCCTTGTTGTCTGAATAAAGTTATATCATTGCATTTCAGGGCTAAAGGTAACAAGAGCTAATAAGCTGAAAACTATTTCTACAGAAGCTACAGGAACTCCAGAGCGAGGATGCACTAAGACGAATGATACACTCACAGAAGCTACAAAAACTGCAGAAATTACCACAAATAGGATCAATAGTTGTGTGGAACCCATAATAAAACAAAGTGAGACAAATGTTGTGGAAGGGCATTCAAAAACAAAAGAGGGAACAATTGGGATAAAGGAAGGAACAATTGGTGCAAAGGAAGGAACAATAGGGACAGAGCAAGGTGCATTTCTTACAAAGCAAGGGATAAGTGAAGGGAAAATTCTTACCATTCAAGATACAATTAGTATAATACAAGGGACAAAGTGTTCAAAGCAACCTACAATAGGTACTTTACAAGGGACATTGGGTACAAAGCAACCATCAATTGGTACAATACACGGGACAACGGGTATGGAGCAAGTGAAAATTGGTACAATACAAGGGACAATGGGTTCAAAGCAATGGACAATTGCTACATTGAAAGGGAAAATGGTTGCAAAGCAACCATCAATTGGTACAATACAAGGGACAATGAATACAAAGCAACCAACAATTGCTACAATACAAAGGACAATAGATACAAATCAACCATCAATTGGTACAATACAAGGGACAATGGTTACAAAGCAACCATCAATTGGTACAATACAAGGGACAATGAATACAAAGCAACCATCAATTGGTACAATACAAGGGACAATGGTTACAAAGCAACCATCAATTGGTACAATACAAGGGACAATGAACACAAAGCAACCATCAATTGGTACAATACAAGGGACAATGGTTACAAAGCAACCATCAATTGGTACAATACAAGGGACAATGAATACAAAGCAACCATCAATTGGTACAATACAAAGGACAATGGTTACAAAGCAACCAACAATTGCTACAATGCAAGTGACAATGGTTGCAAAGCAACCATCAATTGGTACAATACATGGGACAATCGGTACAAAGCAACCAACAATTGCTACAATACAAGGAACAATTGGTACAAAGCAACTGACAATTGGTACAACAGGTAAACAAGTTGCATATCTTACAAACCAGGGCTCTATAGGTACAAAGGAAGGAAACATCGTTACTGCACAAGATCCTTTAGGTACAATACAAGGAGCCTCAGTTGATGAACAAAATAAAACAAATATTACAAAACATAGAAGAATTGCTCCAAAGCAAATGACATCAACAACAAACAATGTTGTTCCAAGTTCTAATGCTGCAGATGCCTCTAATGTGGTCCAGGGATCAGTTGAAGTTGTTGCTGTTCAAGCGAATGGTTATCTTCAGCTTGTACCAAAAGAAAAGTTTGTACAAATGTCTCATTTTGCAAACCCACAGGTCTTATATATGGGAACATCTGGTTAGTATTTGTTTATATTCATTCATTCATTCAGCAGTCAAAATTTAGTGTATTATTTTTTAGTGAAACTTATTTTTTCTGGGGGCATACCTGTCAAGATTTCTTTAAGAAAAATCGGGAGAAAATCGGTATTTCTATAAAAAAATCTAGATTGTTTAGAATAATCGGGAGAAATTGGGAGTTAAGAATGAAAATTGGGAGGAAATCAGGGTTTACAAAAATAATCAGGAGAAAATCAGGATTGATTAGGATTAATCAAGAGAAATCTGGAGTTTACAATGAAAATCGGGAGGAAATTGAGGTTAACATAGGTAAATTGATAAATAGGTTTTCGAATTGCATTTGGGCTGATAATTACTATCTTTGTTTATTAATATATCCATGAGATATCATCAGCAAAATTAGCTTTACTTATTGAACAATCAGTAATGGTGACTTTAAATGTAAACCCTAATGGTACTTATTCCATGAACCCTTCTTTGCAGATCCGCCAAGCATAACTAAAACCTCATCACATACATCTGCATCTGTTGGTCAAGGATCAGCATTAGCAGCACCAAATGTGGCAAGGATCAAGAAAGGATCACAACCTCACATAAAAATTATCAAAAAGACTGTTGTAAAAGACAAAGTGTTGTCAACAGGTGGCCTTCACACAAAAGACACATCTCTTGGTGTTACTGTTATACCAAGTGGATCAAAACAGGGCCTTCCGAGCAATTCTGAGACCTCAAAATCAACTACGCTTGGTAATTCTGAGACCTCACAATCAAATAAGCTTGGTAATTCTGAGACCTCAAAATCAACTGCGCTTAGTAAATCTGAGACCTCACAATCAAATAAGCTTGGTAATTCTGGGACCTCAAAATCAACTACGCTTGGTAATTCTGAGTCCTCAAAATCAACTATGCTTAGTAATTCTGAGACCTCACAATCAAATAAGCTTGGTAATTCTGAGACCTCAAAATCAACTGCGCTTAGTAAATCTGAGACTTCACAATCAAATAAGCTTGGTAATTCTGGGACCTCAAAATCAAGTACGCTTGATAATTTTGAGTCCTCAAAATCAACTATGCTTCTTAGTAATTCTGAGACCTCACAATCAACTACTATTGGTAACTCTGAGACCTCAAAATCAACTGCGTTTAGTGAGACCTCACAATCAAATAAGCTTGGTAATTCTGGGACCTCAAAATCAACTACGCTTGGTAATTCTGAGTCCTCAAAATCAACTGCGTTTAGTGAGACCTCACAATCAAATAAGCTTGGTAATTCTGGGACCTCAAAATCAACTACGCTTGGTAATTCTGAGTCCTCAAAATCAACTGTGCTTGGTAATTCTGAGTCCTCAAAATCAACTATGCTTGGTAATTCTGAGACCTCAAAATCAACTACGCTTCGTAATTCTGAGACCTCACAATCAAATAAGCTTGGTGATTCTGAGACCTCACGATCAACTACGCTTTGTAATTCTGAGATCTCACAATCAACTACGCTTAGTAATTCTGAGACCTCACAATCAAATAAGCTTGGTGATTCTGAGGCATCACAATCAAATAAGCTTGGTAATTCTGAGACCTCACAATCAACTTTGTTTAGAAATTATGAGACCTCAAAATCAACTATGCTTGGTAATTCTGAGACTTCAAAATCAAATAAACTTGGTAATTTTGAGACCTCAAAATCAACTATGCTTGGTAAATCAGAGACTTCACAATCAACTAAGATTGATAATTCTGAGTCCTCAAAATCAACTACGCTTGGTAATTCTGAGACCTCAAAATCAACTACGCTTAGTAATTCCGAGTCCTCAAAATCAATTGCGCTTGGTAATTCAGAGACCTCAAAATCAACTATGCTTGGTAATTCTGAGACCTCAGTATCAAGTACACTTGGTAATTCGGAGACCTCAATATCAAGTACGCTTGGTAATTCTGAGTCCTCAAAATCAACTACACTTGGTAATTCCGAGATCTCAAAATCAAGTACGCTTGGTAATTCTGAAACCTCAATATCAAGTACGCTTGGTAATTCTGAGACCTCAAAATAAAAAGTGTCTGATGGAACAGAAATTTCGATTTTAAATGTGCCTGATAGTGATATTTGCAACTGGAAAAATTGAAAAAGAACTTGTCAGAATTAGAGAATTTTTTATCTCTGTTTCAACAACTGGAAGATATGCAATCTAAATACATGTAGTTGAGATATGCAATCTAAGTACATGTAGTTGAGGAGATGTGCAATCTAAATACATGTAGTTGAGGAGATACGCAATCTAAGTACATGTAGTTGAGGAGATATACAATCTAAGTACATGTAGTTGAGGAGATATGCAATCTAAATACATGTAGTTGAGGAGATATGCAATCTAAGTACATGTAGTTGAGGAGATATGCAATCTAAATACATGTACTTGAGGAGATATGCAATCTAAGTACATGTAGTTGAGGAGATATGCAATCTAAATACATGTAGTTGAGGAGATATGCAATCTAAGTACATGTAGTTGAGGAGATATGCAATCTAAGTACATGTAGTTGAGGAGATACATGTATGCAATCTAAGTTGAGGAGATGAGGATGAGAAAGAACAGTGTACCAAGAAATAAAGAACTTAGAAACTTACTGGTCGTTTACATATTGAGATGCATTGACGGGCTTTCCTTTATCTTTCAAAATGGGGTGTGAGAATTGTGAATTTCAAACCAAAATTGTCTAAAGGAAGAACATGTAGAAGTAATAGAGTGTAAAATGTTCTAACAATCTTCCAAATTATGCCAATGTTTTCATTATAACTGTATAAATCTTATTTTATTTCTCAAAACAGAATTAGTCGAAGTTATTGAAAATACTGTCCCATTCTATTAGTATGATTTGAATTGTTTTGTTATGTCTAAACTGTTTGGACTTTAAGATATGATATCTAAACATGGAATAATGAATCAAAATAAAAAATATAGTGAAATTATTAATTACCTCTATATTCCCTTTTCCAATATACTTTAAAGTAAATGAATGAGCTTGAAATTGTCCATTTCCACCCAATATCTTTTTATTAGACTCCAGATGTAAATCTGGAGTCTATTACTTTCGTCAGTATTCTTCTTTATTATTCTTCTACACACGTTTTCTCAATAACTAGAAGACCTTGAGTCAAGTCATGTATATGGTCAATTTAGGTCCAGTATCTAGTTTCTCGGAAATTGGGTCAATTTTTTATCTAGGTCAAAGGTCGAGAACTAGGTCAAATCTTGTATTTTCATCATTTTACCAATTTTCTCAGTCGTTCATCGATATTTTTTCTCGGTCTTTTTTTCTTCATGTTCCTTGGAAACAAAGCTAATTCCGAAAGGCAAATCGTTTTTTGATTACTCTTACCAATTTTGAAATATGGCTTTCCGGAAAGTAGGTCAAAACAACAAGTTCTCCAAATTCAAAGTATGAGTTATGCATTAGGGGCAGAATTTTGTCAGGAATCGTAATCTGCAAACCAAATTTGACTTCCGGTTCGGAAGTTATGGCGTTTTGAAAGCTCAAAAATCGCTAAATTCGGTGCCCATGTTAAGCCAATGGAAAAAAGAGTTCAGCTAAATATAATGAACGCTTTTAAAAGAATAAGACCTCAAAAGCTATCTAGCTTCAAAATTTGGACACCAAAATGCCTAGGTCAAAATCTAGGTCAAATTCAAAGGTTTTCCTTATTTTTGCGATTTTGACACTACACTTTGATAATATTCCTCGAAATTGTGTATACATGTAGCCAAGAGTGTGCTAATAGCGTTAGCCTTTTGCCACCAGAAAGTATTTTGACCCACTTTTGAGATATGGTGTCCAAAAAGTAGGTCAAAATAAAAAGTTCTCCAAATTTAACATATGAGTTATGAATTAAGGGTAGAATTGTCTCAGAAATCCGAATCTGCAAACCAAATCTCGATCCGACTTCCGGTTCCAAAGTTATGGCGTGTCCGAAAAGTAGGTCAAAATAAAAATTCGCCAAATTTAACGTATGAGTTATGAACATGGGGTAGAATTTTGTCAGGAATCCGAATCTTTAAATCAAATTTCGATCCGACTTCCGGTTCGGAAGTTATTGCGTTTTGAAATTTCGGAAAATTGATCTGATGGTATCCTGATAGAAAGTCAAGGGTAGAGAAGAAAATATTGAAAAATTCATCCATCCTTTCTATCTGATCCTATCCTTCCTATCTATCCTTACTTCGTATCCTTTCCTTCATATCCTTCCAATCCTCTCCTATCATATCCTTTCTTCCTATTCTGTTCTATCCTATCCTTCTTTCTTATTCTATCCTATCGTTCCTTCCCATTCTATCCTATCCTACCTTCCTATTTTATCCATCCATCTTATTCTGAATGACTCAACTTATTCTGGATGACTCGGCTTATTTTAGATGACTTGGCTTAAAAAAGTCTAGATCTGGAGTCTGAAATTGAACTTCGTTCAATTTCCAAAGTCTAGTTATTTTAAAGATATGGTTATGTCTGTCAATGTATCTTGATAACGAAAAGTGGACACTGTTATAATATGTCTGTGCATTCCACAATTACGTTGTTAAAGGGCCCGTGAAAAGTAAAGGAATGAGCTTGAATTCTTCCATTTCCATCAATATTTTTATTTTTAAGATAAGGTTATGGCTGTCAATGTATCTTGATTATGAAAAATGGACACTGTTATAATATGTTGTATGCATTCCACATTTACATTGTTAAAGTAAATATATTTCATTTGAACACTTCCGTTATAATTATATCACTACCAGAAGTGGTGAAATATTGTTCTATAGTGTCTTAAATTTTTTCGTGGACGGTTGGCGTCTGTAACAAATGTCAGGTGGTGACATTTTGCATGTTAATGTAAAATATTAGCCTTCTAAACTTGTACTAATACCATGAGAACAGGTCCATAGCAATATCATTTATTATGTCACCACTGATGCGGTGACATAGTTTGTCTGGAACTTTTTTGCGGTCGGCGTCTGTAACAAATGGCAGGTAGTGGTTATTCTTATCATTATTAAAGGTCCGTTATGTCATTATGTTTAGGCCTAATACTGATCCAAAATAACTGCCACGTGTTTTAATAAAAGAAGTGAAATATTATACAAATAGTTTGTTCAGTTGACAGACTGAGAGGATTAACTGCACATCACTCGTATGAGAATACCATTTATTTATTAATACCATGGTATTTACTGTACATGAAACGATACACCCCTGTCTCAAATTTTCTTAACTAACTAATAGTTTTTACTTCAAACTGCCAGAAATGAACTAAATACTGACATATTTTATTGTTAACGCCCTACATTGATACGATAGTACAGTAGTAAAGCCTCAGTCACATTTGCTATACGACGGCCGTATCTTCACAAAGATTTGCATCGTATCGCTTATCCCTATATTTAATGCTGCATATTTCTCTTGATTTTGGGAAGCTACGGCCGCTGTACGTTTGCCGTAGATCAATTGAGACTCGGGCATTAGTCATGTCAATGTGTAGTTGATGTTTTGAATGACAAACCGTCCTTATGTTCAGACGTTCTTGACTGTACAGGGTGTTTCATAATGACCGTCCACAATTCCACAGCTAGGCCTTATCAATTTGATTGTTAAGCTATGCATAGCGATCTAGGATTAGCTGTGGAATTGTGGAGGATACACGGTTAACTGAGGAAATTGTTTGATAAAGGTCACGGTTTCTAGGATTGGTATAGTTGTTGGAGGGGGCGGTCATTTTGAGACACCCCGTGTTACCCTTTATCATTGAACTCAGGTGTTGTCTGTCATGAAATGATATTGAATTTATCATTCGCGGTACAGACTGACATTTTCATTTGTTCTTTTGCATGTCAAATACGATTTCTATAACATGCACTCTTCCCGAGGCCATCGGAATAAGATACATCTTCGAATTCTCACCTAGTGTACGGAGTTAATGTAGCGGTACGTTTTGCAAGAAATAAAATGACCTGAATAAGAAATTATATATGTTGCTGCATCCCCGAGCCTACTCGTCTCTACCAGGAAAATGTTCCACAGATGTTACATATTAACTGAGGCTAGATATTAAGATTAGATGGTGGATTTTCTCGTAACTGGTTCTGCAGATTATTGCTATATGCCCTCGTCGTGCCATTGCTATGTCCTCGTCGTGCCATTACAATGCCCTCATCGTGCCATTACAATGCCCTCGTCGTGCCATTACAATGCCCCCGTCGTGCCATTGCTATGCCCTCGTGCCATTACAATACCCTCGTCGTGCCATTACAATGCCCCCGTCGTGACATTACAGTGCCCTCGTCGTGCCATTACAATGCCCTCGTCGTGCCATTACAATGCCCTCATCGTGCCATTACAATGCCCCCGTCGTGCCATTGCTATGCCCTCGTCGTGCCATTACAATGCCCTCGTCGTGCCATTACAATGCCCCCGTCGTGCCATTACAATGCCCTCGCAGTACCACTATGCCTTATACACACACATTAAGAATATTCAATTTATAACATAATCGAATCCAATCGTAACGTCCGCAAATTCTTCCGATACTTATTAATTAAATTGATTATTGAAAACATATATTTCATATGATTACCTCAAAAAGTAAAAAACACAAAGTTTCTTACTTCACTTTACAATATTTGCATTTGGAAACATAAAATAATGATATTAGTTGAAGTTTTGTTTTTTTCTTTTATGCTTGGGTCATATTTGCTCCGAATCGTCGGCGCCCAGCCGATTAAGTACTTTTTTCAAAAGTGAATACAATTTTGAACCCTTATCATTTAATTTGCCTATTGCCTAATTTCAGCCAGGTTCGGAAAATTAAATGTCGGAAATATTATCTACATAATGCAGGACGCTAAATGAGAACTATCGTATCACATCACCTTACCGAGGTCCCACTCATTTTGGATGATGGTATAAGGATGCAAAGGACCCACACATAGTGTGCTGAAGTCGAATACAGAAATGCAAAAGAGAATGCTTCGAGGCTCGTGAAACCTCTTTTGTCTGCTAACGTAATAAGCAAGAGAAGATTAGCGGAGATCCATACTACTATGATTCCACTCAGCGCTATAACGATGATCAATGCGCTCCTCAAACGTCACAGCCGCAGCGGATCGGACTTCCGTAATGTTCCATGATTCGTCAGTTGTTACATTGGTGGTAAATATGGCGATGGTGGGATAATTGCTTATAGCGTTCTGAATAAACCTAAGTTCACACTAACGGCGCTTTGATGGCACTTTAAAGCGCTGTGCGAAGCGGCTTTGCACGCCGCTTTTAAGCGCCATCAAAGCGCCGTTGGTGTGAACTTAGCTTTAACGAAAGGCGTTTAGCGTGTTGTTTGCACTTCTTTCTGAAGGTATCAGTAAAATCTAAAAGCTCTTTGGGCGATGTCATCTACACTGGTGGTCCACTCGATTACGCTGGTTACCAAAACGGTTCGTTTTGGTAACAAAATGTCGGAACATCGAAGGTACGATTTTTCTTTTTTCCTTATTTCACACGTTGTAGGCAGAATTCCCACGACATTTTTAACACAAAAGTGTATCCGTATCATATGCTTAAGAAAATGTACATATTTGCGAACAAATAGTTCAGAAGACAACAGAATCGTCGATTTAATTACTCACTTAAGTTACATAAACGGTTTTTCGAAAAACGGTTAAGATCTGCACTTTTAACCCAAACCGTTTATGTAACTTAAGTGACAAATTAAATCGACGATTCTGTTGTCTTCTGAGCTATTTTTTCTGCCTACAACGCGTGATACCTTCGACGTTCCGACATTTTGTTACCAAAACGGTTCGTTTTGGTAACCAGCGTAGTCGAGTGGATCACCAGTGATCTATGGTCCAAATAACAGATCGATTGTTGCCCGAGATCAAGTAGAGTCGCACAGATAGACGTCCATGTTACTTCTGGTAGTTTCTAAAATCAACTATAATGCATGATTGATTACTAATCTAAATGTTTGTACATTTTCTGTGTACATTGCTAAAGTTTATTTGGTATACAATACGACAATACTCAATAATCAGAGTGTAAAAACGCTCTGAAAGAAAAATTATTATCTCCTTCCAAATTAAAATATATATACAAATAGATATACAATTATTACAGATGTGTTTTTAATTGCACTACTTAATTATCAAAAAGAGGTACATAGCTAGAGATATATT